ACTATCCTTTTGCTTTCTTATTTAGACCTAGTCATTAACTTACACATTGGGACACACACACACACACAAAGGACATAATCTTCTACCCCATTTTCTCTCCGCATCCTTGAGATTCTCATTCATCCCAATGAAGTTTATTATCCATACGAATAGAATTTAATATGAACAGTACTCATGAAATCATTATTTTTAATTTAGTTGTAATTTTCTCATTGACTGATTGCGGCGAAATTTTCGGCCTTTGTTGACATGTTGGCTCCTTGTGCAGATGCTTTGACGGTGTCTGAGGATTTAAATTGAGGTAATGTGGTGGATAGTGGTGACTAGCAGTGGATGCGTATTTCGTCCTATTTGAGAATGACTCGTCAACTGGATGTAGCTGCATTCCCCAGTCAGTGATACTGTTCTCACTGAGACTCGAACCCAGGACCTATCGTTTCAAATGGTGAAGCGTTATTCTCTAGACCATGATAGCAACATCTTTTGCAATAGGTGCAAGTTATGATTTTTAATTAACTTTTAATTTTCGTTTTGATTGGACACAATCAGGATGATGATAAGTTTCAAATAGGACAAAACGTGCATCTTGGATTCCCCAACTAGTCATTATCCACCGTTTGTGAAAATTCATAACTATATATTCGTTGTTAATCAAAATCATTTACTTCGGAATATTGGTGTTCATTGTAGTGTTACATTTATTCATTCACCATAAACACGTATTTTACTTTTGGAATTCTGATGTCAATGAATCTATGTTACTTTTAAGAACACCAGTGTTGTCAGAAAACAACGATTCTTTCATTATTATGGATATATAACTGTAGAACCTGATGAAGAAGAGGTTATCGAAAAGAATATCCTTTCTTCCGTAAATCAGTCTTTTGAGATTTCTAATGGACACTTTTAATCTATTAAAATTTTGTTAGACTATTTTAACTACTTATAAGTAACTGCAGATTTCAAAACAAATTTTAATTGACAACTTCGTGTTTTGCCTTCTTTATCAATAAGTTTTTCTCTGAGCTTGATTATTTGTCTACGATTCATTCCTTCCTAGTTTTTAAAAAGCATTCATCTTCACTGTTTTAAGGTTGTTCCACTGAAATCTTAACATTCAGGAAAGTTGTTGGCTTTAGTATTAGGCAAAAGAATAACAATAAAGCGTGTAAAGTAACTGAATGTCATGATATTATGGCGTGTGCTACTGGCAAGACTTATCAGTAGTATATAACGAGTTGTTCATCAGCAGAAAAATATCAAATAGTAGAAAAATGGGTTTGATGTCAAGAAGAGGAAATGAACCAGTGCATAGTGGAAAATCTTGGGAGACATGAAAGGAAGACAATGAAACACAATTCGAAGGGGGGGGGGGGTAGAAGTAATTTGGACAACACGGGAGATCTGTGCAAATGAAGATTTTCATAGAAGGTGTGCACTTTTTCCTTATATGGAGATATCAAACTGTAGAAATAAACTATTCCGTTACCGGGTCTTTTGTCTTCTCCGTTACTGTATAATTAACTGAATAAGGCACTCCACTTCAATTTCAGTTCTACCCTGACTTGATGGTACCATAAAGAATCCCATATTAGTTGTGATTAACAGCCTTACGATGGGATCTAGTCAGTGTTAATTCTGATCTTCATCACCGTTATTTGCAGAATAAACCAAAGTAGAAGCATATGAATGAAGAAGCTTAGTGACTACTAGATTTTTTGATTAAATGTAGTGAGTAAGTCGTGTAGACAGCTGTTGCGCCGAGAAGTCTAAGCAGTTTATTCAGGTCAGATCACCATTTGCCACCTCCCGCTAGATAGCATCATTGAAGTTAAGTTAATGGGAACAAAGGGCACTTCGTATATACAACTTGGTTGACATGGGCAATGTGAAGTCACATTCACCAAACGTTAGTGTTGATTAGACGGAATAGGTGATCTCAGCACCAACTAACCGTTTGTAGTCAACTTATCACCATCCTCGTCGTGATAATCACCACCACCTAAATCTGATTATTTGCCACTACTGATTGGTGTAAACCATCCACAGTTTTCATACTAGTCAGCAATACAGGTTGTATATTAGATGGTTGGAGGCAATCCGCAGGAAGCCCCACCTGACTTAGTTTTCGTGCTTGTTAGTACTATACCAGTCACCAAGGCAGGCGTATCTGCAGTCTTGAAGGAACTCATTTCCCTTCATAGAGGCTGTATAGTTTGCATTATCATAAATCTTGATGAGACTGATGCTGTCAAGTTGAAGACATGTAATGACCAGAATACCTTTAATATTCACCTGTATCCAGGCTGGATTATTTCTCACCTCCCCTAACTTTTTTAGCGACAATCGTTTGTTTGGACTGACGCAGACTGACACTGGCATAAATCTCATTAGAATTAAAATAGATATTCCCAGTATTCCAACTGGCATACTGCTTCGAACTTCTTCGGGGAAATAATCAAATATTAAAATATAAAGGGTAAGTGCGTATAAAGGAGCAAATCTTGTCTTTAATCTTGTTCTTCTCCAGTCATGTTTAAGTCATGAATAGTTATCAGTAACAAAAAACCTTTCTGTAGATCCTTGGTTTTAGTTCATAAAAAGAAAGATTGACTGTAAAGTCCCTATATATATATGAACGTGGTAGTTTGACTGTTAGATGATACATAACCAGTTTTGCTTTAACAAATCTAAATTGACATGTATCAATACTTTTCGTGCCTAGCTGGTTATTCTGACTCTATAAATATCACTGATATAATTCAGTAAATTAATTTCTTAGAATGTTACACGGTGGTGGAATCCAGGACCCAGGTCTTGTAGTGTTTTCTACTCGCCAACCAAATATTAAATCTGCATCACAACATTTATCGTTTCAAATGCCCAAATGTTATCCACTAGGTGACTGCTAGGCACTCCTATTGAAGATGGTAGCTTTCATGTGAGAGTGAAGATTTCTGCTCAGTAAATCGATCAGTAAAATCGAATACTTTTCAGCTGTTTTTTCCTCTCTATTCATTCACATACTTTAAGCCTACCTACCTAGACACAAACACACCCGCACAGCATTTTGCTTTATCTTCTAACCATTCTGCGAAGTCATTTAGAACTCTTTGATTGGACACTAGTTAGTAACTAGTATCACGAGTCTAGTTCTTTGTTTGCTGCAGAATGAATTCTATCAGTCAAGTTCTACAACAATTCAGAGTGTACCGTGATGGCAAGCCACCAGATAGCATCGTGGCCACACTACAAACTTGACTGATAGAATGCAGTTCGCACAAGAAAAAGTATCAGACGTTTGATACTAGTTACTAATACAGTACTTCAGGAGGTCAATGGCGAGTCCGAATTGCTCAATGGTAATGTCTCTGACTGCAACACTGGATGACATAGGCTCGAATCTCAGAGGAGACATGAGTTCCTTCGAGGTTGTAGATACGCCTTTCTTACTGGTGAGTGCCAACAAGCACGAAGTCTAGGTCAGACTGGGGTTCCTGCCGATTGTCTCCAACCATTCAATAACATTTGAAATTCACACAATAAATTGTCTGTCAACGAAGTGATCAGTGACTAAAGCAATCAATCGGATGAATCATTCAGCTCTGTGTCAACCAAAAGACTGAACAATGAAAGAAGATAAAACCAAAATCATCGACAAAATAAAATGTAACAACTGCGAAAAACACTACATTGGCCCAGGTGGACGTCCTCTTCGCCTTCGTATCCATGATCATAAATTAGCCGTCAAAAGATATGACATCCACTCCCCCATATCACTGCATACAGACAACCACGGACATCATTTCGACTGGGACAACATTCAAATATTAGACAGAGGAAACACGAAGAATGTCAGAGAATTTTTAGAAGCCTGTTATTCCAGTGAATCGTCAGTCAATAGACACATTGAAATAGACAATATTTACTAATCAATGAAAAGGAAATCTCACAAACAAAGGGTCAAACTTCAGGTCAAAGAAATAATCAGTATCAATACAAATAGCTTAGAGGGTGTGAAAACACACAAAAACAATCACGTTCAAGGTCACCAGAAAGAGATGACTAATAAACTCAGGTGAACATAGAGAAAACAAAGATTTCTGGGCAACACCAACAACAGACAACGATCAGCCAGCATGAATGGGAGGAACCTGAAAGAAACAACCTCTTTTACCTACCTGGGAAGCATCGTTTCAACTACAGGAGGACGGAACTGACGAGGATATCAAAGCAAGAAAAGCTTTCATTACTCACAAGTCTGTGTGGAGGTCAACAGCACTCAGCATCAAAAATAAGATCCGGATTTTCAACTCCAATGTGAAATCAGTACTACTATACGGATTAGAGACTTGGCGCATCATGAAGAGCATCTCAAACAAACTACAGACCTTCATTAACAGTTGTCTTCGCTCAATACTCAAGATCAGATGGCCGGCCAGAAAAGATCAGCAACAGAGATCTCTGGCAATGAGCGAACCAACCAGGAACCGATTGTGAAACAAATATGCAGGAAGAAATGGAGATGGATTGACCATAATCTGAGGAAACCATCAAGTGACATCACTAGGCAAGCCATTGCTCGAGTGGAACCCGAAAGGGAAGAGGCGAGTTGGTCGTCCAAGTGTGACTTGGAGGAGGCCATGTGAAGAGGAGATGAAAACGTGTGGGCAGACTTGGAGCCAGGTGAAAACGTTGGTAGAGAACCGAACGCAATGGGGACGCACTGCTGAAGCCCTATGTTCCTCTAGGAATTAAAGGAAACAATAATAATAATAATAAAATCATGGAGAAATCTAAAAGCTCACTTCAAACTGAAGTATGCGCTGAAGATATTACCTAGTAATTAGGCCAATGAAAGCTTCGCAAATTAAACCCTCCAGCTCAGAGACCACAACTACATCAAAAACATATATAAACATTCAACGGTATGCCTACACACAAACACATAAACACGGACAAACAGACACTTTTAGCAAAACAATGGCAACTCTTCTTACCATCTGATAGGTTATGTTCATGTACAAATACATCGTAGGCTTCTAAACCATTTGGTGGACGTGGACACTTGTCTTCATCTTCACCATTTGGACAATTCCAATGTCCATTACAGACTAAATTTGGTGGCAGGCAATAAATTGTCTTCGGTAGTGTTGGATGACTTAGTAATATTGTAGATTTCAATGCAGTCACGGAATCTTTACCCTTTGTTTTACTTGATTCAGTTACTGATGATGCTGGTGTTTTCATTGTAGTTGTTTGTAATTTTGATGAATGTGATGATGAATACTTCGGCTTCTTGATATTCTTATTCTTATTATTCTTTTCTTATCATCAATATCAGTCGGTGTATCTTTTGGTTTCGATCGAACTGTTAGATTGTAGTACTCTTTATAGGCAATATAGTCAGTTGGTCGTACACACGGAATCCAGTCATCTTCACAAAGCGCTAAAATTAAACAAAAATAAACATTGAAAATTTCAATTAAGCAAACAAAACATACCAAAATTTAAATCCACATGTGTAATCAATGTTCTGCTGAAGTAGAAAATTCACTAAATAACTTTCATATCTCTCTTTTTGTGTCTCAACTTCATCATAGACGTACTAATGGACTTAACCCTAACTCACTTCAGCGACTCAGGGATTGACTTGCTACCAGGGGGAATAATCTCGTCGACTTAGAATATGCGGACGATATAGTCCTTCTAGGAGAGGACGCTAACAAAATGCAGAGTCTACTGAACACCTTGAGCAACAATTTTCGTATGTTTGGCATGCGATTCGCCGCTGTAAAATGTAAGATGATGCTGCAGGATTGGACTACACCGACTCCTAGCTTAGTGATAGGAAGTGAAGTGGTAGAACACGTTGACCGCTTCAATTACTTGGGAAGTACCATCAGCCCCAACGGGTTGATCTCTGACGAAATCTCAGCACGAATACAGAGGGCTAGGTTCGCATATGCCAGTTTACGCCGTCTCTGGAGTAGACGCGATATCCTGTTATCGACCAAAGGGCGTGTGTACTGCTCATCAGTCCACTCCGTCCTCCTTTATGGCTGTGAGACCCGGCCATTGAGGGCAGAAGACATGAAAAGATTATCTGTGTTCGATCATAGTTGTCTGCGTTCATCTCCCGCGTGAAGTGGTATAATAAGGTGGGCAATATTGAGGTTAGGCGTGGAGTGCTAGGTAAGGAGGGGAAATCAGTCGATGAGACTGTGAAATTACATCGACTGAGATGGTTGGGACATGTGTTACATATGGCTAGTCATCGCCTTCCTCGACGGGCCATGTTAGCTGATATAGGGTCAGGCTGGAAAAGAGCTAGTGGTGGTCAAACGAAAACATGGCACCAGTCAATGAAATCTACAACAGTTAGTCTAAGTCACATAGGAAGGTGTAGACTTCCTGACTGGTTGGGGTCCTCGGGACGGTAAAAACCAATGGTTGGAAACAATTGGTGACATGGCTCAAAATCGTTCTCAGTGGCGCAGATGCATCCACTCCTTGTGACTTATGATTTCCAATGAAACTTTTGTTCTTCGCTATTACTATACCTTTGTCTCACACTTCTGTTTACTGTCTATATTATGCATTTCTCCTACTCTCTTCTCTTGCTTTGTGTGCTACATGGAGTGTGGCGACTTGAACTGGCGCACATATGTGCAAAGTTCTATGTCGAAAACCGACCGACCGACCGGACACTAGTCAGTAACTGGTGTAATGTGTTTTGTCCTATCTTTGGTGCAGATTGAATTCTATCAGTCAGTCAAGTTTGTAATGTGGCCACCATGGCACTGGGTGGCTCGCCATCAAGGAGCACTTTGAATTGTTGACTTTAAATGGTCGGATGCAATAGGCAGGAATCCTTGGACCACTCGCCAGCAAGGCGTCTCCGCAACCTTTAAGGGAACTCATAACTGATGGAATTCAGTCTGCATGAAAGATAGGGCTAGGTACATCACACTAGTTACTGACTAGTGTTCAATCAATCTCTAGCCTCAATAGTTTAGTCGCAACGTCTCTGACTGCAGGACTGGGTGACGACAGTTCAAATTTCAGAGGAGACAAGAGTTGCTTCAAGGTTACAGATATGCCTGGCTGACTGGTGAGTGCCAACTAGCACAAAACCTACGTCCAAGGCTTCCTATGGATTTCCTTCAACCATCTAATACCAATAATGCACCATCTTCCACAACGAGTAGGGCTAGATCGAATAAAAAAAGTTGAGAGCTGTTATACCAGAACATTTGACCAGCTTGTGGAGTCACTTACTGTTGATATTATGACAAGTAGGAAGATCTAAACAGGATGATCAAGATCTTCAGGATGATCGGAATTGATGAATGAAAACGCATTCTGCTAATAGATATTTAGAATATAATTCATCTCATCCGTTATCTGTCTGTGAAGGTAGGCTTAGTTAAGTGTCTAACAAACAGAGCAATAACACTAAGTAGGATAAGAAAATACCTAAATGAGGAATTTACTTTATCTTATATTGATTTTATTCAAATGTCTAATGCATTTTTACTCATGTATATAAACGAAGCCAGAAAGTTGTGTGAGTTAGTGTCTTGATATGATTATGAGCAGTAATAAATTGTGCTCTAAACGTGTTCGTCAGTAAATATTACTCTATAACAGCACTGTGTGATTTATCAAAATAAAATCTTATCCATAATGGAGTTATACCCTACCACCATAGTGCCCAAGTTTTATACTTATATCAAAAATAGTATTATAATACTATTTTGAAACCATAAAGTCTGAACTGATGCAACCGATTAAATTAGTTATGTATCAGTCCAACTTTCTGAGGTGGGTAATATTCGTATGTAATGAGTTTATTGCATAATGAGTAAAGTTAGGCTGTTCTCACTGGCTTAGGTCTTCTACCTTTGATTGTATAGGTTCTGCAAGTTACTAGTGATTAGGTCTTCAGACGAGTAACTTATTGCCTTTTAAAATACTAAACCCTAGTCTCAGCATTGTAATTGTTAGTCCCGGTCGTATCAACCCATACGAAATTTTGACGATGTTATCAAAACTCAGTTGTGGTATTTATTTACCGTTCACGCCAGTACTGGAGAAGGTGTGGAAAGAAGGTAAAGTAGCCGAGGATTGGAAGAAAGGATACTTATTCGAACTACCAAAGAAGGGAGACTTAAGTCAATGCAAGAACTGGCGCGGAATTATGCTCCTGTCCATCCCAAGCAAAATACTAAGCCGCATCATCCTGGAGAGAATCAAACATGCCCTAGATGAACAACTTCGACCGGAATAAGCTGGATTCAGGAGAAACAAGTCATGTATTGATCAAATCGCCACACTACGGATCATCATTGAACAAAGTTTGGAATGGCAGTCACCTCTTTATCTCAACTTCATCGACTTTGAAAAGGCCTGCAGCAGACAGCGTTGATCGAGAGGTGATTTGTAAACTACTACGCTACTATGGGGTGCCACCAACAGTTATACACCTCATCCAACAGCTGTACGACAATGCTGCATGCCAAGTAATCCACAATGGGGAACTTACGGAATCTTTTGAAGTGAGGACAGGAGTAAGATAAGGCTGCCTACTATCGCCAATTATTTTCTTGATTGCAGTAGATTGGATAGTGTGACAGAGAGTGGGCAATGAGGAAACAGGCATAAAATGGACCCACACAAAAAACTTGGAGGATCTGGACTTCGCCGATGATATATGTCTGATTTCACACAAACTGGAAGATATGCAAGCGAAAAGCAACAAGTTGGCAGAAGAAGCATCCAGAGAAGTTAGGACTTAAGGTGAACATGGAGAAAACAGAGGTGATGAAGATTCCTGGACAAGAACAACAACAACAGTCAACGATCAGCATAAATGGGAGGAACCTGAAAGGAACAACCTCCTTTACCTACACACCCACCTGGGAAGCATCGTTTCAACTACAGGTGGACGGAACTGACGAGGATATCAAAGCAAGAATCGGAAAAGCAAGACAAGCCTCCACTACTCTCAAGTCTGTGTGGAGGTCAACAGCACTCAGCACTCAGCATGAAAAATAATATCCGGATTTTCAACTCCAATGTGAAGTCAGTTCTACTTACTATACGGATCGGAGACTTGCACTGCGCGTCATAAAGAGCATCTCAGACGAACTACAAACCTTCATTACCAGTTGTCTTCGCTCAATACTCAAGATCAGATGGCAGGCCTGAAAAGATCAGCAACAGAGATCTCTGGCGATGAGCGAACCAACCAGGAACCGATTGTGCAACAAATTGGCAGGAGGAAATGGAGATGGATTGGCCATACTCTGAGGAAACCACCAAGTGAGTGACATCACTAGACAAGCCATTGCTCGAGTGGAACCCGAAAGGGAAGCGGCGAGTTGGTCGTCAGTGCAAGGGTGACTTGGAGGAGGTGATGTGAAGAGGAGATGAAAACGTGTGGGCAGACTTGGAGCCAGTTGAAGACTCTAGCAGAGAACCGAACGCAATGTAGACGCACGGCTGAAGCCCTATGTTCCTCTAGGAATTAAAGGAAACAATAATAATGATAATAAACCCTAGTCTCAGCACTATAATTGTTAGTCCCGGTCGTATCAACCCATACGAAATTTTGACGACATTATCAAAACTCAATGGTGATATTTATTTATCGTTTACATAATGGCAAAATAATTTCAACCAAATCTATTCTTCAATTGAAGGATTGTCATTTTCTTCAGAAAACCTGTCGTCTGTTTTCGATTAACTTCTGTGTCATTGTTTAAATCAATTTAAAATTACCTTCTAACTAATTTCGAGAACGAAAATACGGAATTTAAAAGTCATTGCTTTTAATAAAACTGTTCAATTGAAAACCTTCAATTTTTGATAGACAATTCTGTGATGTTTTAATCAACAGAAAATTGAAACAATTGTACACAATTTCATTTGTTTGAAATTGACTTATATTCGTCAGTTATTTGAATGCATCTTTATTTCTTCTCCTTTTTTTTAACTGTCTGTCATTCAAATGAAAACGAATAATATTTATGTTTTTTGTTTTTCTAAACTAAAGGAGAATCGTAATTTTATCAAGTTATAGGGGGGAAAATTGAATATGAAAAAGTTACAATGATAAATTGGCATTTGGATGATTGTGAAATATGCCCATTAATTCATGAGGAAAAACACAGTTTTCGTTCAGCGAAGAAATACTATTTCTTTCCAACGACTTCATTTTCAGGCAACTGTACAGTCGTATTTATATTATGGAAAATGGTATTAAGTGGCACTAGAAATCGCTCAATCAATTTTGCACATATGATGATAAGAACAAAGATAATTAAGATGGCGTATTAAGGGGGTAGAGTTGAAGGGGATGAATTACAAAACTTTTAAAGATTATTAAATAAGTGAACTGGTATAAAGATTTTAAAATAGTAGGTCAAGTGTTGTCTAAAACATTAAGAGTAAGATGATGATGACGGTAAAGACGGCGAAGGTGAAGTGAAGTGGAGTGAATTCAAGCGGTAAAATAGAATTAATGATATTAGATAGTTGGAGGCAATCGGCAGGAAGCCTCACCTGTCCTAGGTTTCGTGCTAGTTGGCACTCATCAGTCAGCAAGGCGTATCTGCGACCTTGAAGGAACTCATGTCCCTTCTGAGATTCGAACTCGTGTCACCCAGTGAGTACTGCAGTCAGAGACGTTAGCACTGATATAATAGAGAAGATTTGTAGCTCAGGTGGATGATTTTGGTGTGGTTGTGTTCTCTGAGTTGGATGGTTTGGTTGCGAAGCTTTCATTGCTCTACTGAGCAACGTCTTCAGCGCATACTTCAATGTGAAGTGAGCTTTTAGAATTCTCTATGAATTTATTAGTCATCTCTTCTAGTAACCCTGAACATGATTGGTTGTTTTCGTGTGACATTTCACCCCCTAGTTTGCTTGTCTCGGTGCTGGCTGCTTCTTTGGTCTGAATGTCGTTAGTCATTCCTTCTGCTAACCTTGAACGTGATTGGTTGTTTTTGTGTGACTTCTCACTTTCTAGTTCACTTGTTTTGGTGTTGACTGTTTCCTTGACCTGAAGTTTGACTTTGTTTTTGTGTGAATTTCTTCGTATGGATTGGTATATTTTGTCTGCATGCAGACAACCACGGGCACCAATTCGACTGGGACAATGTTCAAATCTTAGACAAAGGGAACTGCAAAAATGCCAGAGAATTCCTAGAGACCTGGTATTCAAATGAATCAGCAATCAATAGACACATAGAGATTGACAAAATATACCAATCCATACGAAGAAATTCACACAAAAACAAAGTCAAACTTCAGGTCAAGGAAACAGTCAACACCAAAACAAGTGAACTAGAAAGTGAGAAGTCACACAAAAACAACCAATCACGTTCAAGGTTAGCAGAAGGAATGACTAACGACATTCAGACCAAAGAAGCAGCCAGCACCGAGACAAGCAAACTAGGGGGTGAAATGTCACACGAAAACAACCAATCATGTTCAGGGTTACTAGAAGAGATGACTAATAAATTCATAGAGAATTCTAAAAGCTCACTTCACATTGAAGTATGCGCTGAAGACGTTGCTCAGTAGAGCAATGAAAGCTTCGCAACCAAACCATCCAACTCAGAGAACACAATCACACCAAAAAAAAGTTACCACTGAGCTATTCGGGCTCGTAAATGACCTCCTGTAGGACTGTAGTGGGTAGTTTGATTGGACACTACAGAAGTGGGTGAGACAGGTTCTAATCTCAGAAGGGACATGAGTTCCTTGAAGGTTGCAGATCCGCCTTGCTGAAGAGGGCCAACTAGCACGAAACCTAGGACAGGTGAGGCTTCCTGCCGATTGCCTCCAACTATCTAATATCATTAAATCAATGTGCACTGTGATGGCGGGCTACCTAAAATGGTGGCCACATTGCAAATACCTGACTGATAGAATTCAGTCTGCACCAAAGAAAGGACTAGACACGTCACACTAGTTACTTGTGTCCAATCAAAAAAGAATTAAATAAAAGAACATTACTGTGACGAAGGTAAAGAAAGGGGTTTGACAAAACGACTTTTGAATACATAATTTAGGTTTTTGTCCATGTATAGCTAGGGCTTCGTTTATGCATAATTGGAGGAAACGCAAGCTTTTGGAGTGATTGGATTTGGTCCTGTAGATAACTTTAAAGGATAAATCACGTGGGGCTGAATGACCTGACTGCAGAAGGTGTTCACAGACTGAAGACTTTGTCGTCCTTTGCTCACTTTTCATTAACCAAACCAAGTAGCGTTAAGCTACGCGTTTACGGAGATTACGCTTACAACGTCCAATGTAATCAGCTCCACATGAGCATGTGAATGAGTATATGCTTGTACATAGAGGTGGACATAGGTGGTACTTTATCCTTGATACATTGTCTAATCGTCTTTTGGCTGATAAATACTAAATGTAAGTCAGCTGTATAAAAACACCGTTTAATACATTTAGATAAACAACTTTTAATTACTTCAGAAATACTGTCACCTTTGAAAGCCAAACTCATAAACACTGTCTTCTTTGGCACTGTGATTTGGCTTAGGACCGTTTCTTTCTCGATGTTTTTGTCGATAAACATTCTGGGAAATCCACTATTTAAGAGAGTTTTGCCAAGGCTTTCTGGTTCTATGTTGACCGTATCTACAGAGCAAATTTTCCGAAATCTGCAGCAAAGAGAACGGATAAGATTTCTCTTCCTGCCTAGAGGTACCCAACTGTTGAAGTTAGTGTCCTGACCTGTAAATGTTGGCTTTTGGTATATCAACCTTTTTAACGTGCCCTCATCTCTTCTATCTAGCATCACATTTAAGAAGTGAAATGTGGAGTTCGATTCTTTTTCCACAGTGAAAAGCATAGATGAGTGAGAACCATTAAATCTTCCAAGAAGCTTAGTAGTTGAACAATTTTTATCACAAATAATGAAGGTGTCATCAATATACTGCTTATACATATGTAGACTTGAGATTGTTTCTTTCAATGGTTCCCTCTTCAAGCTCGCCATGAAGACATCCGCTAGAAGGGATCCTAATTAAGACCCCATGGCAATTCCATCTCTTTGATTATAGATGTTTTCATGATTCAATCATCGTGTGTGTGATAGAAGAAACGCTATGGAATTACGTGACTTATTTCTGTAGCAATGGTATTCAAAACGCTTTCCTCACCCCAACTTAAAACTGGTCAAATGGATTAACTTGTGACTGACTTCCCAGGTAGGCTCAAACCTAGCAAGTATGGCTGGAAAATTCAAAAAATTTTACCCTGGGCCATTGGTTGAAACACGTCTCCTGGATATCATTGCTGCTAGATATAGTGAACTGATCAAAACTAAAAATTCACCTCATGGGGTCGTTGAAGTGTCAGTGCTAACTGCAAATATATCAAAAGCCAACAAGCATTTTTGTTATTGTTGTTATCACTATTGTTCCCTCGGGTTCGGAGTGCAGCGTGGAACTTCAATGGCATATCTCTGCGGTGTATTGTCCCTTGCGGTCCTCTTCAGCTGGTCTCACGATTTCCCATAGTCTCTCATCTTCCCCTCACACAAGTACCTCCATCTCACTCTCGAGCACACGCCCGACTGGTCGGTTCCCATCCGGATTCCACTCACGTGGTGTGCTGGTGATCAATATTATTTGACAGTCTCCTCAATGTGTGTCAGATCCATCTCAGTTCTCTTCGGGATATCTGTTGAGCAATAGGTTCTTGGTTTTTTTGTTCATTGTCACATTTCCTTGTTGCTAATTCCTTCTGACCAGCCATTTGATCTTCAGTATGGAGCCAGCTGTTGAAGGCAGCTTCAGATAAAAGTCTACAGCTTGCTGCTTCACCTGACGCACAAGTCAAGTTTCTGACCGATATAGAAGAACTGACTGACTGGCTGACTTGGCATTGGTGTTGAAAATTCGAGTCTGTTTCGCACCTCCGATTCTGCGGAGACACCTGTAGTTTAACCGATGTTGCCTAGCCAGATAAGTGAAGGAAGTGACGCCTTTCAAATTTATTCCGTTGATAGAGACTGGCGGTTGTTGTTGTTGTCTTCTCTACTTTTACTTGAAGTAAGTCCTGTCTTTGCTGCCTGCTTCTTTTAGCGAGAATTTTGATCAAATATAACCAGTCAGCGGGGAATTCAAAACGGTGATTACAGGCAACCTCTTCAAAGCTACTTCTCAAAAAAGGAAAAATGAAGTTATGATCTTCGTTGAAAACTTAATCTCATGGAAGTGAAAGACTGCTGCTACTACTGTGGTGAGAGCTGGCTGCGAACAAGCCAAAACTGTAGTCATCTCGAATCGGGGTCATGAGAAAAACAATAACAAAGTTTAACCTTGAGGAACTCGCCAACCAATCACAGCAGACTTAACGTGCGCACATACGATTTGCAGATACATGGCTTAACTTTCTGAGAAACGGTTACAAGCTGTACAGAATAATCTTCAGCAAGAAAGCAACCAATCAGAAGACGTTGCTTCTCCACTGACATTAATGTACATAAAAATCTATAAATATCTCTTGATTTTCTGAATAAACGATCTGTTGCCTGGCCCTTGTCTTCTGTCGTTACACTACTGCAACTCAGTTTTGTAAAAATTTATACTGTGCCAACTTTTTTGATCTATAGTGAATTAAAACAAACACAAGAGATTTTTAACACAGCAAATTACTATTAATCTTACCATTTTTCAATACTGTAGCAGTTAACTTGATCTCAGGCAATTTAGTTATTGATTTCGTTGTATTCGTCTGAGTGTATTCCATAGGCTCAACTGACACTGGTTCTGGTGAAACTAGAATACGCACAACACCTCGGCCTAATTTACATGTATACGGTTCTAAATTTTTCTTATTACAAGTATGAATCACTCTCGGAGTGTATTTTTCATTGACGCGTTGTAGTACTTGACTGCCTTTACTACTTTTCGATAGGATTGACGGTGTTTTAGGCAGTGTATCTTTATCGGTTAGAAAGAATTCGTCGTATATTTCGATGATATTAGTTTTACACTCTGGATCAATGATTTGAAATTTCACTAAGCTTAGATGAATCATAAGGATCTGAAAAAAAGCACAAAAAACAAAACAAACAAAAACAATGGTTACTCTGACTTTTGCGTTACTATGGATACATTAAATTATCTGGGACTCTTGGATCTGTCAAGTTACTTTTTCTACTAAATAACGTTGGGTTACTTTTGCGGCTTTCCTCTGTCTGTCTTTAAGTTGTGGTGAGAGCTGTCTACTAGCCATATTGATAGACAGTAATTTACGTCAATGTTTACGTTCTCAAGATTTGTCGTGAGAAAATATGAACAAAGACTGATTCAAAACCGACCACAGCAGACTTTGCGTAGGCGGATACAGTTAACATATAGATGATCTGACATTCAAGAAACAGTCACAAAGAGATGAAAGATTAACTTTCAGTGAGAAACAACCAATCAGAAGACTGTGTTTGTTTGCTTAACTAAACTATAATAATGTACATGAAAATATATAAATATGCATTGATTTCCTTAATAAACGATATGTTGCCTGGCCCTTGTCTTCTGTTGTTACAAAGTTACTTAATGTAATTATGACAGAATTAATAATAATACTTACCAGGTATTGAGATCAATATATAAATTGACGTTTTGATAGAACTATGTACCACTCATTGATTGGGATGAGTTTGTTGTGTGCTACTCATATCAACCAGCAGTACTTGTCAGCTAGCCAGATCAAGGTGTCCTAAACACCGGACAGTTGTTTCGCTCGTTTGAGGTCAAGCCCAAATCAGTTGAAACCACACCTGATTTCTGACTAGCCACCTGGTCGAACTCCTTAACGTATCTAAGAAGCGTCCTTTCAGATTCAGCCGACTCCACAAATGGGGATGTCACATCCTGCCAGTCAGGAACGGGAAGGCGAGTCAGATATTCATCATCCTGAAGTCACTTTGGAGATTTTCTGCACTCCGCCTCAGCATAAGGAACGAAATTTGGACTTTCAACACCAGTGTCAAGTCAGTCAGTCAGCCAGTTCTTCTATATGCGTGAGAAATTCGGCGTGTGAGTCAGCTGCCTTCAATAGGTGGCTCAGTAGTGAGGATCTAGCAACAAGAAACTGTGGCAATGAACGAACCAACAGGCGAGAACCTACTGTTTGACGAATATGTAGAAGAAAATGGAGATGGATCGGACACACTCTGAGGTGACCATCGAATGACATCTGGCTCTAAGCCATCGATCGAGTAGAACCACAGTGGGAAACGACGAGTTGGACCTGAGTGAGAGGGTTACATGGAGGAGATCGTGAGATGAGGAGATGAAAGACTATAGATAATCGTGGGACTGGTTAAACAGGACCTCAGAGAACAAGACAACGTTGAGGTGTGTAACTGAAGCCCTATGTTGCACACGGAATCCAATAGAACAATAATACTAATCTAATACTTGGTCGAACTGGTTGATATAAGTAGTATGTAACTGCTCATCCCAATCAATCAGTAGTATATATCTTAACGCATTCATTTTTGCTTTCTTGATGACCATTTTTTATAATAATAACAGATCACACATTGTGATTACCTGAATAACTTGGTTTCCAAAGGAAACTACAGCGAAGTTTCACCTCCTCGAACAATGTAGATTAGAAATTGTGAATTCAATATATATAAACTGATGTTACTGAAGCGAAAAATGACAATCTTTACTAGGGGCATTTCGTTATTCATTTTGTTTTGCGTTTGTGTGTGTATGTGTGGCTTATTTGGTTAGTTTTCAGAGCAGTAATCTGGTTGCTTCTTCAAAAGCTTTTCACACTGCCTATTATTTGAAGAGTTTACTTTGTATACTACTTAAAATTCATTTATAAGTAGCACACACTACATTATTGTAATTTTTGAAATTGTGATCTTATGTTGACCGAACTAATTTGATATTAAACACCAGTCAGTAATCCCAATGCACACCTAATCTTGTCTTATATAGAAGTAATAACAAAGCTGATCATTTATTGATTCAGAATCTCTAACTTCAGAGTTATCTTTTCGAATAAACTTAACTTTCTGTTTTAATTTTCAGACATTCTAACAATTTTCGTTGCCTTTATTTTGTTGCCTTACACCTTCTGTCAGTTCTTCTCCCTTCTGTATTTTTGTATCCTGGATGATTAGACTACCAGTGTTTAAAACGTCCATAAGCAGCTCCTTTCAAAAACCTGCCTACATTAAATGAGTTGTCTTTCTTTCTGGTTTCAGATATGATTTTATTTTATTCCTTGACTTTCCTAGTGGAACATAGTGGGCTTCAAGCTAGAGCTTTGAAGTTTCCGTAGCAGTGGTGCTTATTTTTACTGGGTGACGTTGCTAGCGTCACACCCTAACCTCCCTCTATACCGGCCCAGCGAGGTTTAGGAGTGCATAGGCCGGGGACCGAACCACTTGAGGCGTCGTTGGAGAGCGTTTTACCACTGAACCACTGACTCACAACCTACGTGGTCTAGCAGATGAAGCTTTCCCTTTTAAAAAATGATGTACACTGGGTTCGTCTAGCAGACGAGTCCAAATGGGATGAAATGTGAGTCCTAGATACCATTAGTAGTCACCACAGGTTCCAGATAGTAATGTGAAATAAGAAAAAGGTGGATCAGATGGTGGCTTCCTAGGGATTTCGTCTCATGCATATTTGATTCCTGGTATACAAATTTAAAATCAAAGGACACATCTGATATAGAGTTAGAGAATTGGAACTTCATAAAATAACCTGAATACTAAATGAGGTACGTTTCTATCGCAAACCGATAATATGTCGACAAGTGGTAAAAATCGGCGATGATTAAGCTATCCAGGGGGAGTAGGCATAACTCACTCAAGAGAATCCAGATACAAGGCAAGTACGCTAACATTCAGCCAATAAGCTGGTGGCGAATTCTGCCAACCGTCAGCTCATTTCCAACACAGAATACTTTTGCACAAAATGCAAAAGTACTAGAGACTTCTAGTTTGAAGTTGATCTTCGATTTTGTGCTTAGATCTATCGAAAATATGGTGAATTCAAGGTAAGGCTGAAACAATTGTGAAAATCTTCAACCTATCACTAAGTCCTATAGTGAATCAGCAAAATCTCTAATTTTAAAATTGAGAACTAAAGCCCGATCCTTCGACAATCTCATCAATAGTATCAGTATAATACACCGGATGAAATTCATCAGTTTCATTCAAGATCTGCAACAAAAAATGTACAAATATTTATAAAACTCTGTCGAAATCGACGGTTTCCCAGAAAACACTGAGAAGTTTATCTGTAATCTGTCGAGTTTGAAGTTAAATCGAATTGAAATGGAAGCGCTTCCCTTGAATTTCACCTTCATATTCCGAATAAATTTGACAAAAGAACCGATGTAGGAGCTCACTCCAAAAGTTTGTTCTATCAACTGAATGACCTTGTCCAGCTGATGAGGACAAGAAAAGCGGGTTCAAATATAAGCTGGTCTGCGCTGCAAATCAGTACCACATTTCGTTGAAATCATATGCCTAGTGCATAAGACTTTTCGAATTGATTTCAGAGTATTGTAGGCCAGTGTCGCCTTTCCGATTTTGGTTTTGACATCCTCGCCCATGTAGTCTTCCTGTAATTGAACCGATGCTGCCTAGCCAGATGAGTCAAGGAAGTGACCTCTCTCGAATTTCTCCAATCGATAGTCAGTGATTGGTGTTTGATGTTGGTGTTGTTGGTTGGTTGGTTGGGCGTTTGATTGGTTATCTTTATCACCTCTATCTTGTTTATGTTCATCACTTGAAGTCCTGTTTTGGCTGCCTGTCTCTTCAACCAACATCTTTACTTTGTCATGTCAGCCTTGCAGTTTGTGTGATATGAGATATAAACCGTCCATGAGATCCAGATCATCTAGAGTCTCCTTATCTATCAATCCAACGTATTCCCGTCTTCTTTTTACCCATCCGCGGTCTTCCATATAATCCTTTGTTGATGGTAGGTAGTCAGCCTTATCATACTCCTATTTTCACTTGAAAGGCTTCATTGAGTTTTCCGTTGTGGATTACTTGATAAGTGACATTGTCGTATGTCTGCTGCATGAGGTTGATAAATATTTGTGGTACTACACTCCATAGTGTTGAAGTAGTTTCCAAATTACTTCTCGGTCAACGCTGTCTGGTGAAGGCCTTTTCGAAGTCGATGAAGTTGAGGCATGCTTTGTTCCTTGATGATGATGCATAGAGTTGCGATTTGATCAGCACACGATTTGCCTTTCCTGAATCCAGCTTGTTCCGGTTGGCGGAGTTCTGTATCCAGTGCACCTTTTATTCTCTCCAGGATGACGCAACTTAGTATTTTACTTGGTGCAGGCAAAAGCATGATCCTGTGGCAGCTCTTGCAGAGGCCTAAGTCGCCCTTTTTTGGAAGTTTGACAAGGAAGCCTTTCTTCCAATCATCGGGTACCTTTCCTTCCTTCCAAACTTTCGTCAATAGTGGTGTGAGTATATCTACTACGGTCTCTGAGTCAGTTTTCAATGCTTCGGAGAGATCCCGTCCGGTCCTGCTGAATTCTCGCCCGGCCTTCAGTAGCTTCATTTCATCCAGGACTTCTGCTTTCGCTGGATGGCTGGTGTCTAGTGGCAGTTTTGTGACTGCTATTGGTGATGGTATTTCTGGGTGAGTTGCAGATGATGGTCGATTCAAGAGTCCTTTAAAGTGATCAGTCCATTGTTTTATTTGCTTTTCCTCCTTGGTAATCAGGTTCCCTTGAGCATCTTTTATTGGTTTCATCATATGGGTTGATCTCTTCCCGGATAGAGACTAGGTTATCTGATATAATAGCCTGAGGTCTCTTCTATCTGTGGCCAGCCTGTTCTGCTTCATTTGCCAACCAGTATGTCGTAAAATTGTCTTTTTTCTGTCTTAGCACTTTTCTTTACTGCTTTATTCAGTGCAGTGTACATTGAACTCAGCTTAACCTTCTGTTGCCCATCCTTGCATTGAGTAGTCATCTTCTCTTTCACCATCCTCCTTTCCTCGATTAGCTTCCAGGTATCAGTTGACAGCCATTCCTAGTTTTGTCTCTTTCTTCTTCCTAGAACAGTTGTACACGTTTTCTTAAATATCGCTTTCAGAGAGTTCCAATGTTCTTCCATTCAGGTTTACTCAGTGATGTCACTTAGTGTCTCTGACTTTGCTGTGGTCTGATCTTTCGTGAAGGTATCTCTGGTAGTTTCATCCTTCGGTTTATGAGTGTTGAAGATGAATGTTGATCTATCTACGGTTTTATGGAAGACCTTCAGCTTGACCTTGAGGTTTCGTTGAACTAGATAATGGTTTGAACTCATATCTGTACCCATTTTCAACTTCGTGTTTAGCAGACTATGACTGTACTGTGTTGAGTTTGAGATGAAATCCATCTGATTTTCGGTGTGTCAATGTGGCGAAACCTATTTCTCCTTGTATATTTCTTTGCGTTTTTTACGCTGCCTCCAATCACCAAATCACTGAATGCACGGAATTACGAGAAGAGTTCTCTGTCCTCACTCATTTCGCCGATAGCCACTCTATCCATGATGAATCCCCTTCATGTATCATCTGCTCTCAGTTCGATTGGCATTCTTATCACCCATTAGAATTTTGATGTCTCCATTGGGGATCTTATCCATCACTGTTTGCGATTTTCTGTAGAAATCTTTCATTTTCTCTTGTTCTGTGTTTTTTGTAGGCAGGTAGCATTGGATGATTGTAGCCTTCCTTCCTTCTGAGTTAAATCCTGACGTCGTAATCTTGTAGTAGATTGGTTCTTACTGCATAAGAGCTTTGGCTACTGTTGGTGATATCATGATGGTGACTCCATCAGAGTGTTCTTGGTTGCCTTCAGGGCGACTGGAGTAAGTTTATGACTCTTCAGTTAACAATTCAGAGGAGAGTCCACATCCTTTCCATCTGCTCTCGTAGATTCATGACAGTACTCTGCCATATCTTCTCATTTCTCTGACAGTCTCAACAGTATTCCGATATTCGTGCAATATGTGAACATCCCACGTCCCAATGCTTATTTCTGATTTCATCTAAAGAAGAAGACATGTCAACTGATTGGCTTCTCGTAGGCTTTCAGCAGCCCACAAAGACATTCCATCTCCCTGATTCCAGCTAGGAATAACTTGGTGTTTTATATTTTTGTGGTGGTTTGAAGTTTGTTTAGCGACTGAATTGATTTTCTTGGGTAGGGTGGCTAGCCCAACACCCAACCTTCTCTCCTTTCCCAGGCTTTGGACCTGCTAGAAATCTAGTGCACTATTAAACTACGTGAGGTTATATATATATGTTTTATGCAGAAAACCAAATCTTTATTGCTTACCAAATCACTTCGATTTGTTCGAAAATCAATGATGAATTCAGTTAGCCGATCAACTGGATGTGATTTTGTCTTGATTATTGAGTTTGTATAATCCTTCCACAAGTTTAATAAATCCTTATGTTCAAATGTTACTTCATCTTGGATAGATATTGTGGTTGAGATAATCGCTGTGAAGAGAGAGAAAAAGAGTGAAGATGTTAACAAAAATGATTAGGAAAGGTTTACTTACTAACTCTTGAAATAGGTGAGACTGACGTAAAGGTACACATTTTGAAGAAATGGATTAAGGGTTCCTCTACAGTCCGTAGAATATCACTTACTCTGGATCATTGAACACACCAAGAGAAGAACAATCTGAACTTTCGAATACCGGAAGTTATCACAATCAATTCCTACCAGTCTGAGTTATTTCAGTATGTAATGAATGTGCGCCACATTGTGCACCCAAGTCATAACTAATGACTCTAGAATAATTCAGATAAGTTAGACAGAATTCTTCTATCAGTTAAACTAAATCTTAAAGTAGATTTCTCGATGAATTGATGTCATTTTGAGAAGTCATGAATACTGAATGGTTGTTTTGTTCCCGTTTCGGATTCTTCAACTGTGAAAACTAACGACTCAACAAGTGACTGACTGAAAAGATTTTAAGGCTACGAAGCTTCACGAATAAGCCACTTTTCAATTTATGTTGTTGTATTACTAACTAATGCGTGATTACAAGATGGACAAAAAGTAATTCGGAAACCACTTCAACGCTATGGAGTGTAGTGCCAGAAATATTTCTCAACCTCGTGAAGCAGACATACGAGAAAGTCACATATGAAGTAATACACAACGGAAAATTAAATAGAGCACGTCGAGTGAATACAGGAGTACCACAACGCCGGCTGCCCTCCATCACATATGATATTCCTGATTGTGGTGTACTGCATCATACGGTAGACCGCATATGCGGAGCGAGAAACAAGGAATATTTTGAAAGAAGATTTGTACTCAGTGGATGGTTTATGTCTAATGTCACACGAACTGGATAGCTCACATGAGAAAACAAAGAATTTGGTAGGAGAGGCAGGCAGCAAAGACAGGACTTCAAGTGATGAGCATAAACAAGACAGAGGTGATGAAGATAACCAACCAAACAGCCAACTAACCCACTAACCAAGAATAACAACATCAAACAGCAGTCATTCACTATCGACTGGATAAATCCGAGAGGGGTCACTTCCTTCACTCATACGGCTAGGCAGTATCGTTTCAATTACAGGCGGACTACACAGACGACGATGTCAAATCCAGTCAGTTAGGATCTGAAAAGTTGGACAGATATCTATCATTGGCGCTTGAAACTATGGGCACTGGTTTCGAGCCTCGGTGGGAACATCATCACTCACTGAGAAATGCAGGTACATCCAGATGACGAGTCCCGAATAGGACGAAATGCGCATCCTGGATTCCACTACTAGTCACCATCCACCAATTAAATAATAATTAAATGCCCAGACATCGTCGAAGCATCTGCTCAAGAAGCCGACATGTCAACTTGAGACCAAGCCCTTCAGTCCAATCAATCGACGGAAAAATCTAAAATTTAATTAAATATTCTACACTCCACCTCAGAATGAACAACAAACTTCGGATTATCAACACCAATGTAAATTCATTCAGTCACTTCTTCTTTATGGGTCAGAAAATTGGCGTCCGCCTCATGGAAAGCATTTCTGACAGCCACCTGCAGACTTCTATCAACAGTTGCCCCCTTCCATGACCCATATTGAGGACCGAATGGCTGGCGAGAGGGAATGAGCGTCAAACAAGGAAGTTTAGGGACGAACTAATCAAAAATCTGTCACTAGGCAAATAAACAGAAGAGAATGGAGGTGGAACGGACACATTCTGTGGTGAGAGATGGTTGCTAGCCAAATTGGTTGACAGTAATTGAGGTCAAAGGTTAAGATGGATAGGCAGATACAGTTAACATATAGATGAACTGACACAGCCACAAGAGATGCAAGGTTAACTTTGTGTGAGAAACAACCAATCAACAGACTGTATTTTCTACTAACATTAACCTACAATAATGTACATCAAAATCTATAAATACGTGTTGATTTTCCGTAATAAACGTTCTGTTGCCTGGCCCTTGTCTTCTGTTGTTACAATTCCACTAAGGAGAAGGCTGGGTGATATCTCGCGTAGAACCTGAATGTGAAACACGGAACTGGTCGTTCAAGAGCCACATAGAGGAAATTGTGTGAGGAGGAGATGAGAGACTGGGGGGAATCATGATTCCAGCTACAGAGGACTGCGAGGAATAGGAAAAAATTGAGATATGCTGTTTTGGGCCAATGTTACACTCAGAACCCCAGGGAATACTAATAATAGTAATACTAATAAATAAATAGTGATTGGAAATCATCTGCAATGTCACAGACTTATTCATCCTTTTCAATCTTTCAAACTCTGGTAATATTTACTAATGTTAATCTAGTTATTCTTCACTGTGGTTCCTAATTGGTTTTTGTTTATTTTTTTAAAGTGAGTCTGTAGGGAATTTTAAAATTCACCATCAGTTTGCGTGAATTTCGTTTTCAGTCAATCATTCAAACAGTTTATGGGAAAATGTCATCAGACTGATAGATTGAATGAGATAAAACAACTACCTGTTCAAAGTTTCCAAATTTAAATGTCATCTCTTTTAAAACTGTACATTCAATTATGCCAATGATTATCCCTTTACTAGGTTGCCTGTATTGATCTGATTTGATTATGGACTGCAGATGAGCCCTAAAATAGGACAAAACATCTGTCCAGTACTCCAGTGATTCTTTTACTGGTATCGATTCGTGGTCCAGCTTGAAACCAATCAAATCCCTAGAAACAAACTCTTGAAAATTTAATCTGATGCCCGTTAGTGACTCACCATAGGACGACGTTGTCTGCAGTTCTAGTGAGAAGTTGTAACCTGTGGGGTTCACTCAACTAGGAGTTAGGAAAAATACTCGCCAGAGGTGACACTGGCTGATGAAGTCACGCTAAAATCACGAATTGGTGGAAGTCAAAATCCATGAAATGACCACTAAGTCGAGTCCCATTGACTGAATGGTCTGCAGGGTTGACTGGCAACGAGAAGGTCTTGGGTTCGAACCCTGTCGGTGAGTGAGTACAGGCTATGAGTCCGAAACTAGGCTAATGAAACAGCTATCTGGTACCCCAGCGGTGGTTTTCAATGGGTCTCTAACTGGTTATCCTTCTAGCTGAACAATTTATGGCTTACGTGTCCATTTGAATAGTACTGGGTTTGAAGACGTAATATTTAAAGGTAGAACTGGTCAACAACCGACAGCAGTCAGAAGGCAGTTACACATCAGCGATCGCTGGACTACAGGTTTCCCCTAGTTTATGATTCGTTTGTAGTTCACACTCATGATCCCAATAGTGACTGAATCTAGGATGGTCAAGCCACGAATCAAGAGCAACATCATGCATCAAACGGAAAGCAGTCCGATGATATATGGATTACAACCTAGATTGACTCAATAAGTGGGTCCAATAAGCGTGTTCTACTTAGTTACCACGTGATATCTTTCCTTTACGTTCCCAGTGGAGCACAGGGCTTCAAGCTAGAGGCTTGAAGTTTCGGTAGCTATGGCTTTTATTTTTACGCGATGGGTTTGCTAGCCACATGCACAACCTTCCCTCTTTACCAGTTTTATTACCGGCTTAGAGTGGTTAAGGAGTGCGTCGACCGGGGATCGAACCCCCTTACCACATGTGGCGTGGTTGGTGAGCATTCTATCACTGTACCACCGACGCATCACATGATACCAGTTATCAGTATTTGCCCTGGTCACTACGATAACAGACTGTGGGACGACTAGTTGATTTCTCTGTGAAACAACATAAATTAAAGAGTCACAGCAGAGTCACACATTAGGAAGAAACTTCGATCCAGTGTTGCCTGTTTTCTGAATTTCTCTGACTTACCGAAGTCAACCTTTATTACCTTTAATAATAATAACAATTAATCCCTCTGCTTGCGAGTTAAAAATAGAGGTTTAACAGTGCATCTTTACTTTGTCCTATTCTCTGTAGTGTTCTCTTCAGCTAATCCCACGATTCCCCATAAGCTGTCGAACCCACTCATCGTTTCCCACTAGGGTTCCAGTCGTGAGGTGTCGCCCGACGTTCTCCTCAACGTGTGTTTAATCCTTTTCCACTCTCTTCGGCATATTTCTTAAGCGACAGGTTCTTGACTGATTCGTTCATAAAGTTCCTTGCTGCTAATAATTTTCTGCCATAATTTTTTTTCCTTCACGTTCCCAGTGGAACATAGGGCTTCAAGCTAGTGGCTTGAAGTTTCTGTAGCAGTGTTCAATTTTTACAGGATGGGGTTGCTAGCCTCATGCCCAACCTTTCCTCTTCACCAGCATTATTTCTGGCTTAGCGAGGTAAAGGAGTGCGTCCGTGGCCGGGGATCGAACCCCAGACCATGTGCATAGTCGGCGAGCGTCCTAACCGCTGTGCCACCGACGCTTCTGCCATTATAGGTTATCTTTAATTAAGTTTTGATTATTCGCTGGTGAATTCACACTTTCAGATTTTTTATTTATTTATTTTGCAGATTATTAGACATTTTATAATAATACTTTTGTCAAAAGAAAACTGTTTAGCTGTTTTTGTGCTGTACGATTGTGTTAAAGAATCTTTTTTTTGGTTAAACCACATGATCTTCATTTCCCACACACAATTTTTCATGGTCTGTTAAACGCATAAATTTATCTTTGAAGTATATTTATGTATATATATCTATTTTCTCCTTAGGTAGTTTGTTGTTTCAGACGTATTTTAATTTAACACCCCTCTTTTTGATATTTCTGATAGCACAGACATCCATAGACAGAGAAAATCTCCATTTAGACAGGTAGAAGACAAAGGAAATAGTTAGTTTTCAATTGGATCCTCATCTCTACTGTTTGACGACGGATTGATATCAGTTAGAGAACCATTGAAAACGAGCACTGGAGTACTGGACAGTTGTTTCATCCTAGTTTGCGAACAATCGGCAGAATGGTATACGAGCTAGCTTGCCTTGTAACTGGAAGGTAACGGGTTCGAACCCGGGTTGTGCGTGTGGACTGCCTATAATTTCCAAACTAGGATGAAACAGCTGTCCAGTACTCTAGTGCTGGTTTTCTCAATGGTTCTCTAACTGATATCAATCCGTGGTCAAACTCGTAAAAACAAATCTAATCCTTACAAGCCAACTCTTGAATACAGAATTTATAACAATTATCCATTGTAATGTATCATTTCAATTACAGACGACTCGACGGATGGGAATATCAAAGCCATTCCGGACTGGAAATACTATTCAGACTTTCATCATTCTCAAATTATTTGGGAAATCTTTTCCAACACTCTGTCTCACCATGAACGACAAAATTCAGACTTTCAACACCAATGTTAAGTCAATCAGTCAGTTCTTCTGTATGGGTCAGAAACTTGGCATGAGCGTTACCTAAAGCATTTCCTACAGTACAATAGCGACTTTCATCAACAGCTGTCTTCATTAGCTTCATAATGAAGATGAAATGGTTGGCCAGAAAGAATCAGCAGTAACAAAGTAATTTTTATTTTGAAATATGAATTTTTATTATTTAATCTCACAGCTACGACAAATTATCTGAATGTATCGATGATGGATAATTATATCGACTGTATCCTGCATTTTAGTTGTACTGTCAGGAATTGGATTTCATCATGAGCTGACATCGGCTAGGGAACCATTGAAACGCTGTAAAGTGTTCTCCATCCTGGTTTGGATCTTCACAGTACGCCCCAACCACTGTCAGAGTTCACCCAGGACATTCTGGTAGCATGCTATGCGAACCATTGTACAGTAGATAATAACGAATGTTTCGTCTGTACAGCCATTGATTTCATTTCAATCTTTAATACCAAGAAGTACATTTGTCAGAGGCAGTTTCGATTTGAAAAGGAAAGTTCCTGGAGAAGGATGGACTCAATGTGTAACTTACCATTACCAACCAGCCAACAACAACTACCAGCACCAATCACCATCAACGGGAGACATTTGACAGAGGTTACCTCCTTCACTTATTTGGCTAGGAAGCATCGTTTTAACTAGAGGCAGTCGGAACGGATGAAGTTATCAAAGCCAGTCAGAATCGGAAAGGCAAGATACGCCTTCATCAACCTGAAACCAGTTTCGAAATCTACTGCACTCAGTCAGCATAAAGAACAAGATTCGGATTTTCAACACCGATGTCAAGTCACTTCTTCTACATTGGTAAGAAACTTGCACTGCGTGTCACGAAAAGGATTTCTAACAGGCCACTCTGCAGACTTTTACCAGCAGCTGCCACCTTCGCTGGCTCCATATTGAAGATCAAATGGCTGGCCAGAAAGAATTAGTAACAAGAAACTGTGGAAACGAACCAACCAAGAGCCTACCGTTCAACAAATATGTAGGAGAAAAAGGAGATGGATCAGGTACACGTTGAGGAGGTCGTCAAATAACATCGTGTTCTAGTCCCTCGAGTGGAATCCGAATAGGAAGCGAAGAGTGGGTCGTCCTAGGGTGACATGGTGGATATCATGTGGCGTGGAGGAGATGAGAGATTATGGGCAATTGTCGACCCAGCTGAAGAGGACGGCAGAAAATATAACAGATTGTAGATGTGTTGTTGAAGCCCTATGTTCCACTCGGAACGCAAGGGAATAATAATACAATATAATACTGGTTTGCATACAACATTTCAAAAAAATTGTGAACAAAATAGGAGCACTTTACTCACGTTTTTGTGGCAGTACTTCATCTTTACCTGCAAAGTAATAGGGAAAAAATAATAATCTTGAAATTAGGGAAATGGAAAGCACACTTCAGTCATTGCAGTGATGAATGAATCAAGTTCAAAATCCAATGAGGATAATGATATAACTATGAACAACATACTGTTTTCGAAACATCGTGCAATAAGTAACCGCATGTGAAATTCCCAATAAACAAATTAATTTCACACAGCAGTTCCATTTTATAAATTTGAACAGAGAAAGAACAACAGACATTCATGCAGAATAACATGGATCCATTTTATTTCTCTGATTCTCATCAGCTGTGTACAACCTATAATCTTTAAAGAAAACAAGTCAGTGTACAATTTTTTAACATAATTTTGTCTATTAACAGGCATATTGTAAGAGCGTCATAGTGAGATAAACCATTAGGATCATTCAGTATAATCGACAGACAAAATAGCTCAATTTTTTGGTTTGCTGAGACTATCTCAATGAAATGGCTGAAATCTAACCTACGTGTTGAAAAGGAATTTGTGGTTGAATTTCAATTACCCTGGTGACTCATCCCTTGGTAACTCATCGTGTTTTCTAATTTCATCAACTTATCTTTCCAACTACCCCATCCCCGCGACTTTCTCCGTTTAACGTCTATAAGCGATAATTCTTCTTGACGTTACGACTTCTGCTCACCATAATACATTGTCATCCTTACTTTTGACCTTTTGCACACCAAATTTTGATCTTCTCTTGTCCAACTACGTGACTGTTACTAATTTTATGTTACCACCCAAACAACAAAATTATCAGTTGATTTTTGGAGAAACTTCTTTCTACCACGATATATTTACACTGTAATACTTCAGGTACCTTATAATCCTGTTGTTTTATCTCACTATTAGTCTCTTACAGTATGCCTGTTGACAAACGAAAGTATGTTAAGTTTGTACATTGACCTATTTTATCAAAGATTATGGGTTACAAGCAGCTGATGAGATGAATCGGCGAAATAAAGTGAGTCCGTGTCGTGCCGCACCAGTGTTTTTCCTTCTCTGCCCAAACAACTAATATAGAATACTAGTTGCCACCACCGATTGTCACATACTAGAAGTACTGATGAATTTCATAAAACAATTACGTAATAAAACGAGCTCAGTTGTTCGATTTATGCAGATATGACTGATATCACAAACCAACTTTATAGTTGTGCCTACCTACCTTTGATCCTATCATTGATCAATTCCAGCGCCTTCAGAATACGCTATTGAATCAGATGCTATGATAAAGTATGGGAGTATGAGATCTAGGCTTCCTTTCTACTGACATTTATCATTTGAACCATCTCCTAGTCTATTGGGCACACTAAAGGGTTTGTCTATAGAAGATGGAAAGGTACAGAAGGACTTATAATCTGCACCGATTATAGTCTGAAGCACTGATAAATTTAAATTCCTGAATAAATTTGCCTGAAGGTTTTGTATTTCCACTTTCTTGTGTGACGTCTAACACTAACACCCTGGAGATCAATGCATGTCTTTTCCGTTGCAATGCATATCTATGATTACACCGGGTGTAGAATACAGAACCGCCAACATTTTGACTGGACACTAGATAATATCATGCGTTTAGTCCTTTGTTTGGTACAGAATGACTTCCAGCGGTCAGTGTGGCCACAGTGCCAGTTGTTTCGCCATCACGGTTCAACAGTGGCCGCACTGCAAAGTTGGCTGATAGAACTCAGTCTACACTATTACATTACACTAGTTACCAACTAGAGCCAAGTCAAAGTATCTAATACAGTCTTACATGACATCAATCATGAGTTCGAATTTTTCAGTGGTAACGTCTCTTACTGCAGCATTGGGTGATATGGGTTTGAATCTCAGAAGGGATTTGAGTTCTCCGAAGACTGCAGATACGCTTGCCTTGCTGACTGCTTGGTGTAAAGAAGCGCGAAACCTTGGTCAGGCAGAGCTTCCTGCTGACTGCCTCCAACCATCTAAGAACCATCCAAATACCAGGTGGGAATGTGAATCTCTTAATCATTGAGTTGGCTTTTGTTTACATTTGAATTCTAACTTCTATCCACTTTCAAAAAACTGGGATTTCTACAAATTTGGCTTCCTTTACTCCTATTTAATGTCATTTAAAAAGTATATTTGATCGATAGAACTAGGATGCAACAAGTAATCCAACAGTAGACAAGAAATCAGCAGATACCTGAATATATATCTCAGTAGAAATATGACTGACTTTGGTACTGCTTAATAAAGGTTTGAATATTCAAAAAAAGGAATAATCTCCACCCTTAAAGCTGTAAATACATGCTGTTGACAAGGGTCAACAGGTGCGAAACGCACAGTTAAAGCTGTTTGTTGATTAATTCCCACCATTTGGTGAAACATAATCTATCCATTGTTCCAGCATACTGCTAATACCTATGATGGAACCTGGAATCGTTGAAGTCCATTTTGTTAAATTTAACCATACTGAAAAGTTATCAGTGATGTTAAAAGGCATTTCAACAGTTTTCTTAGAAAATTAAGGAAAATAATTCTCTGCAAGTGAAATATTTAGAAATTTCGATGTTAGATGATTGTAGATGATTCATGTGAAGTCCCATATGAGGATCTTTTGCTTATTGGTGTTCGTCAGAAAAGTTTGTCTGCATTCTCAGTGTCATTGATGTACATTAGAACGTTTGAATCCTCCTCATGAGGTGATTGAGTCAGAGACTTTACTGCTAATCCATTTGAGCTTCAATTGACCTCCAAGCATCTAACGTCATTTCGAAGTGCACCACGATGCTATTATTATTGTTTCCTTTAACTCCTAGAGGAACATAGGGCTTCAGCCGCGCGTCTCCATTGCGTTCAGTTCTCTGCTAGAGTTTTCACCTGTCCCCAAGTCTGCCCACACGCTTTCATCTCCTCTTCACATGACCTCCTCCAAGTCACCCTTGCACTGACGACCAACTAGCCACTTCCCTTCCGGGTTCCACTCGAGCACTGGCTTGTCTAGTGATGTCACTTGATGGTTTCCTCAGAGTATGGCCAATCCATCTCCATTTATTCCTGCATATTTGTTTCACAATCGGTTCCTGCTGTGTTGGTTCGCTCCCAGAGATGCCTCCCTGTTGCTGATCTTTTCTGGCCGGCCATCTGATCTTGAGTACTGAGCGAAGAAAACTGTTAATGAAGGTCTGTAGTTTGTTGGAGATGCTCTTTATGACGCGCAGTGCAAGTCTCTGATCTGTATAGTAGCACCGACTTCACATTGGAGTTGAAAATCCGGATCTTATCTTCGTTTTGATGCTGAGTGCTGTTAATCTCCACGCAGACTTGAGAGTAATGAAAGCTTGTCTTGCTTTCCCGATCCTTGCTTTGATATCCTCGTCAGTTTCGTCCGCCTGTAATTGAAACGATGCTTCCAGGTTGATAAGTAAAGGAGGTTGTTTCTTTCAGGTTCCTCCCATTTATGCGATGTTGCCATATCTCAAACCTGACTGGTTGAATTTAGTCTGCATCAGCACCAAGGACCAGACACAAATGATATTCGTTACCAGTCTAGTAACCAATCAATATATCTATTATAGTTGAACAGGAGGCCTGTCTTCATCCTATCAGCTCAGTAGTAACATTACTGACTGCAGCGCTGAGTGACGCAGGTTTGAATCTCGGAGGGGATATGACTTCCTTCAAGTCTTCAGAGTCGCCTTCTCAATGAGAAAATAGCAGACTGAAAGCCTAGACACAAGTCCTTTTGATGATTACCCGCAACCATCCAATATCAGTTCATAGTGAATAGCTTGCTGACCACACTGCAAATCTGACTGACGAGACTCACAGTTACCACTCAGGAGTCGATACTATATCGATGGTTCTTTTCCACTAACTATCTAATGTATCAATAAAATCATTAGCTTGGAAGAAAACCCAAAAATTCACTTTCTAAATTCTGACTTACCTCTTAATTTAGTAAAATAATAAACAGCCTGAAAACCAGATTTTTCAATACTAAAATCTGAATGAAAACGTAACCGCAACCATTGGCCATTTGATTTAATGGAATGTAATTGACGATTATCTGAACAGAATCTACCAATCAACGGTGAGAAACCATATTCACCATCACGAACTTCTAAATAATCATTGATGCACTCAGCTGATTGTTCAAATTGATAAGGTCCACGAAAATCAAGAACTATCTGTTGATCTTCTTGTGGAGCTGGAAAATATTAAAATAAATAAATTCTTTTTAAAGAATCGAGTTTATGAATGACAAATATACGTAACGGGAGAAAACAGAAAAAACTTGATAACGCACCTTTTTTATCAAGGAAAAAGTCTCCATATTTATACATTTTTATTCACATTTAAAGTCGGCTAGGTCAGCGGATAATAAGCTGTTCTGATTGGGCGTTGACTTTTCTGAAGGTTAAATCTATAGATGAAAAGTTGTCCAATGGGATTATTTCCTGACCATAACGCAAACTAAACCCAGAATTTTTAGGAATAAACAACACTTCTACCTCTGCAACTATTGATTTAAAATATTGTCTTCAATCTAGGTGGCTTTCTATCAATCTGCGTCTATATACTACTGACGAATCTTGTCAGTAGAACACATTATATATATATGCATGCAAAAATATACAAAATGAAAACACTGACTCAATTTTGCACTACAGCATTTTCTCCACTAGATAAATGCAGTGTCAGCATTTAATAAAGTTCAGTTTTACTGCCGATTTATTTTAATGGACCAATATTCTCGATCTCCCGTCTGAATGTCAGCATCTACTGTCGACACCTCGATGATTCCTACAAGTTAACTTGGTGTTTATAAAATTATATTTGTAAAATCTCAGAGAAATTGAAATGATTAATTTCAACGTTTCCTTCGGCAATCTGGTCCGAACTTCTTCAGGGAAATTAATCGAAATTAACATAACAGGGGCATTTATATATAAAAGGAACAACTCTTGTTTTTAACAACCAGCAGAATTGCGTATACCAGATCAATTGTGGGGATTGTGATGCTGTATATGTAGGAGAAACTTCCAGACAGGTAAATATAACAGTGAAAGAACATAAACAATGTCTAAAGGTGGTTCAAAGACCTCTGCAGACTTGAAGAAGCTAGAAAACAACTCAGCGATTGCACTGCATTCGATAGAAACGGGACACAAAATTGACTTTGATAAGACTAAGGTTTTACAGAAAGGTTTTGGTTCATATAAAGGAAGACTGACTGCAGAAGCCCTACATACATGGGTGAATCCCAACAGTTTGAACAGACGTGAAGGTGTGATCTCAGCTGATGCATGGCAAATCCTAACTAATAAATAAATTAGATATGTATCAACAACTAGTCACAATTGATCGAATTCCCGATTGTCTACGTCTTCTTATGGTGAGAATAACAAATTTATAATATTATATTATATTTGTATAAAACAGCTCAATTATTTTGTAAATATCCGGTCAAATCTTGATAACAGTTCATATGAATTAACTTGGTGTTGTTTCATGCATTTTTTCCCCTTTTTGAATTTGAATAAGGCAAGAACAGCTGTTTGTGCAGAATAAGATGATACTATCATTTGTTTCTTTGACTTCTCATCAGCTGCGTACAGCCTAAATGAATTATTAAGTTTATTTACAGAAGACGTATAACATACTTGGAAATGTGACGTGATGTCAGTTAATAATAGGCTCCAGACTTAATGGACAGTGCTCAGAAAAGTGCACTTATACAGTTTTCACCCACAGACTTCAGGTTAAAACAAATATGAATGTTTGCATACAATGGTAAAGGAGTTACGCAATAAAGACAAAAGATGAGTCAGATGATGAGTGATTAATAAATTGAGTAACAATGTACTGAGTTCAACTCAAATCATAGAAACAACAGACAACAAAAGTTACATTACGTAAAGAGGGGGGGGAGAGGTTGAAGCCAAAGACTACGTAATCCTAAGAAAGAGTGTAAAGACATGCAGTTACCAGGGCAAGGAAAGACCAATCACTTTTTCTTTCTGAAGGAATAAATAGGGTTTCAGGTGTTTGGTGTGAGTCAGCCAGGAATCAAACCCGGACAGCATGAGTAGCTGTCGAGTATCCTACCATTAGCCCATCAACGAACCTTTTTTTCATTATTAGTTTTAATTCATGAAAAATTCCCATCTGAACCGTAATAAAAACGAGACAAGTGGTTCAGTAAAGGGACTCTTCTCGACGAGTTCATTTTCCTTTTCTGGGGGTACAGTCGAAATTATATACAGTCTGTTTTTCACAAAAGACGGCAGTAACAAAAGTGATGAGTGGTCACAAACATATTTGTACGTCGGTGGCACAGCGGTTAGGACGCTTACCAACCATGCACATGGTCAGGGGTTGGATCCTCGGTCAACGCACACCTGATATCAGTGCTTGGCCTTCTAAATTTGGGCTACCGATGTCACATTCTGAAAACTCCATACTTGTACCAGAATACTGTATGGAATCAAGCTATAATCAAAAAGAAATCAATATTAGTTAACGCATAAAAGGAGTTGAACAAGTGCAATGGTGTTACGTAATAAGTTGAATAATTTAATGAAGAATGAGTACTAATCAGAATGCACATAGAGATGGATAAGAATATGGAATTATGTAAAAGTTCTAGAGAAATACAAGAGTTACGAGAAGTTAGAAAAAACAAACAAACAGAATGAAAATCAAGTAAGTCGAAATCAACAATGAGGTTGTTGTCATGATAGTAGAACTGGTTGAATGACTTTCATTTGTATGCATAACTCCAGTTATTCTAACTGAATGACTAAGGCCTCAGCAATGCGCAGAGGAGACAAAAGCTTGCTGACCTTGACAGGTTATTTTTCACTTTGTAGATTACTTTGAAGGAGGAGAAGTTTGTTGAGATAGAATGGCCAGTGTTGACAAGGCTTTCAATTACCACACTCCTTACAGAGCCGCTAATACTTCTCTGCAGCCATGTGGGATAGCGTTCTGAGACCCTTTTAGAGAGGATAGTCGTCAAATGACTAATGTAGCTGGCCCCGCAGTAGCAGGTGAACTGATATATATATATACAAAGAATTAGTCGAATGAGAGAATCGTCCTTCGGGTTTCCCACATAATTCCATATTTTCCTTCGTTTCTACAGGTATTCCGATTACCACTCATTTTTCATTAAACTATTCAACTTATTACGTAACACAGATGCACTTGTTCATATCCTTTTTATGCATTGATTAATGATAACAACGACGTTTGTGACAACTCATCACTGTTGTTACTACCCTCTTTCATGGAAAAAAGGCTGTATATAACTCTGACTATATAGCTAAAGGGGAAAATCAATTTGCAAGGGAAAAGAGCCTTTTCGCTGAACTACTTGTCTTGTTTTTATCAGTTTTAAAACATTCTACTTTCGAAAAAGTACTGTTGTCATTAAATAATTTATGTGAATCAATACTAGGGAACAAACTCATGCCCCCCTCCCCCCCACACACACACACACACGAACACATACACTCCATAGACGCACGTAGATCAGCAGTATATTACTTGTGTTCCTGATTTACTGTTCGTGCACGTAGATGGCGGTGCATGAAGAGTTAAAAGCATGCATCTGATAATTACATAAGAAGAAATCAGAATTATGTCGTCTCTCTCTCTCCCCCTCCCTCTCTCTCTCTCCCTATATCTCTTTCAAAGCAGCTGATATAATCAATATGGGATGAAGTTATGATACCATAAAAACGAATAAAAATATAAAAATCGGATAAAATAGAATATTAATCAGGTAGTTAATTAATACTTATCTCAGTTGAATGAATTATCTTTACTTTCATTTCTAGAGAATGAACATGCGAAATAGTCAGGCGAAGTATGACAATAGCAATGACGACGCGTATATATATACACACGTGGACACAACTATAAAAGCTATTAACGACGCTAACTTCTAGTATTCCGGATATTATTACTATTGTGTCTATGCGTATTCGGCATCAGTGAATGAGGAGAGGAGGGTGTCTCCAAGGCAAAAAACGATTTTACTGCTTTTATATTCGATAGCTATCAGATTATGTGTATATATATATATGGTCAGATGTTAAAGGTAAGATACCGCCTTTGGCCAACTCAGGGTGTATTTTTCAGTTTGTTTATTCGTGTGGAACAAAGTATGTCGGCCGTACACAACGTCAAGTCCTCTAAGCACGTTCTGGAACACTGTTCGGCCTGATTAGACAGAAGAGAAAAGAAGAATACCAGTAGCTGTATTCTCGAACACCCAGTTAACTCTGGACATCAAGCACCCCTGCATGATTACTTAACGGTGCTATGCAGAGTTCCTCAATATCGCTTGAAAGGACTTCGAATACGCTATCTATAGAAAGCTGAATCATTGACAATTCGGAATATGAAACACGACCCCTGCGTTCAAAAGCACTACATATCTCCACTTATTATTCTCATTATCCGTATTTCATTATCACTGCATTACTGTTTACTAGTAATATTGTATTTTCATGCAGATTTTATAAAACCCCTTTATCTTGTTTCCGCTATTTTTTTTGCTTATTTTGCACAGTCACACTGCTTAGCTATTTTTCACACTCATTATGTCATCCCTTTCTAGATTACACCTTACATTGCGTAATACGCTTTTCGAGGACAAATTTTACCAGTATCTGATTGGTCTTACAAATTCTTTGTTAAATGTAATTACAATTGTACAGCAGCTTGCGCAACTGAATCAATGACAGGAAAAGTTTCTTCGCTTTCTACGTCTTTTTCTTGTAATTCGATTACATTTAAATCGGTTTTGGAAAACATTTTAAGTGACAGAAATGAAAAATACATCATGTAATGCAGAGCATATATGTGAATATTCACTCGAATTAGTGTATTTCAAAGCAGAATGCATCATGAACTGAAAGAAGTTTTAGAAAAGTCATTCGAAACTCCTAATCCGTAAACAAGAGTGATCTCAACAGGGATCTAATCAACAACCTTCAGGTTGTGAGGAGAACTTAATTGGCTGTTTAGCAACTAGCTTGAAATTCAAATGACCTGTGAAGTAGAATTTCCTGTTAGTTCACGAAGTAACACCATAGCTACCCAATACAATCGGAGAGTATCTGCCCTTGTTCATAACCCATTGTAATAAAATCCTGGGATGTTTACAGTCACTAGTTATAGCAGTAAATTAATTTT